TGGAGAAGGGCTATCAGAGGCCAGTTACGCTGGGGTCCTTCAGACCGGAGTGCTCTTCTCCTGTGATATTAACAAGAAGTTGTTAGTGCAAAGAAAATGGTGTGAAGTACATTCTTAATCTCCTATTTGCAAAATGGAAGTATAAATAAATATCTGTTTTTCAGTCACTGTTTGCTGTGCAGGCTCGCTATCGTGCTAGAGGAGAAATGTCACAAAATCAGAGTGTCATAAGTGGAGCTGCTTACTTTCAAATGGGAAACAAATGATTTATTTCCTTTCTTTTCCTTTGTACAGGTCGCCTATGTCTTTTGACTGCTGTGCATCCCATCTAGCACAGTAGTAGGTGGCAGCGTCTTGTGGGGTTACTTTGCTGACTGTCAGGGTGCAGACAAATTGGAAGTGGTCCTTCTCGATACTGAACTTCCCATCATCGGAGTTATTTTCAAGGAAGAGCCTGGATGACATGTAGGCAATGCGCTCAGGAGCGGCATTCACCCTCTTTCGGTACCAGTGAATAAAAGTAGTGGCAAAGTCAGCAGCTGACACATGGCAGTTGATGAGCACTGTTTTGCTTTCTGGCTTGGTGATGGATATTGGAGTTTGCTGCAAGGCTTGTGCCAAAACACCTACACAGAACAAAGGAAAGAAAATGGAAATGTGAAAGAGAAAAAGAGCTCTTCCCTTTTTGCCACAGAAGAGCGTGCAGGAAGGAGGGCGAGCAGGGCGCTTCCAAGAAAAAGCAGCTACGAGGATAAACACCCTCAGCGGCCACATTCTCACTGCCCTCCTTCGAGTTTCACTGAAGCAGCCTCAGCACCCTGTGAGAAAAGTGGTGGGAAAGCCCATGGGAGGGGCAGAAATAACTTCTCTTAGCACCATTCGATTGATTAAGTATTCGAGCGCCTATTACTTAACATGAACAGAGCATAGGTTAGTGGCCTCAAACAGCCAAGCAGCAGGCAGGTGTTATTTGCTACATCCTGCCACCACGAGGCGAGCTTTCAAACCCTGGCTTCCCGGGGCTGACAGCCCTGAGGAGGTTTCTGTATAGGCTGTGCAAAGGTTTTCTGTGGTTGTGTCGTCCCAGAAAGCACAGTAATATGTTGCCTCCTGCTGCTTTGTTACTCGTTTTATGGTCAGAGTAGAAATGAGTGTCGAGGCCTTCTTGTCTGCATGAAATAATTCTTTATTGGCCTGTTCATCGATTACAGGGTCTCCTACCAGCACATACAAAATGTGGGTTGGAGCTTCACCGGGTTTCTGCTGGTACCAGTGGATGTCCATATTCTGGAAGTCTGACCCAGAAAACTGGCAGTCAATACGTGCAGTTGCCCCCGCTCTGCTGCTTGTGGAGGGTCTTGGCTGCGTGAGCTTTTGTGCAGCTCCATCTGTGAAGAGAAGCGGAGAACAGCGCTGTCATGGCAGCAGTGCCTGCACGGCCGGTGTTCACACCGAGCGCGACTCCCACAGCACCCACAGCTCACAAGCACAACTCACGCGAGCAGAGGGCTGCAGCCGCGAGGAAAACCTGCAGCAGCCACATGTACGTGGGTCGATGCGCAGGTGCCGCGGAGAAGGGCCAGGAGCAGGATCTGTCCCCAGCTGGGCAGCAGCTGTGCAAGGAGAGCAAGCGAGTGGCTCCGTCCCAGGCACCAGAGGCAGCTCTGCTGAATGTCCCCACCTATCACAGGGCACAGCTGCTCTCCGCCGGCTCCTAGCAATGATCAGCAGTGCCCAGGACAGCTTGCAGAATGAGGCTGCTCCAGCTACAGTGCCCTATGAAGGAAATCCCCTGGAGATGTGCCCATGGGGCCCCCGCACAGCCTTGCTCCTAATCTCACCTGACATCTGCAGGACATCACGAGTAATACACTCATTGTGGCCTTCCCTCCCTCGAGTTCTCAAGGCTGCTCCTGAGCCATTTTTAAAGATCTCTTTTTAGATGGAGTGTCCCTAAAAAAAGAAAGCTCTGCTTTGAGACCTGAGCACCTGCTAGTGGGCCCTTCCCATGGCTTCCTTATATCTCATTTCCAGCTGCTTCCTCATGCAGAATGTCTGACAAATCAGCTTTAGAATGGTACTTATGGATACCAGTGCTATTGGGCTTCTTTTTTGAAATTAGTTAAAAAGAAAAGAGTTTCTGCTAAGGAACTCAAGGAATCGATCGACTTTCACACAAACCGATCCTGACCCTTCCTTCTTCCAAACCCAGGCCTGTACCCAGGGTTTCTCTCCTATGTGATATAAAGCATAATGTCATCAGAAACTTTGTAGTCCTATTTTCTCTGTGATAGCATTAAATGCCATTTCTCACTCACGACGTGCCGATCTGAGAGTCTACCAGAAAGCTGTATCTTGTTTGGTGTAACCCAGCTCCGTGCAGAGCGAGCCTGTGGCTGTAATATTTGCCCCAAGTTATGGGGCTAACCAGCTTCTGGATGTTATGGAGCTATGTGTCAAAATACTATCCTGATAATTAACATCACCTAATGTAAAATTGCAGTTAGAACCTCTTGGATTTCTATTCTCGTTGTTAGAAAACAGCTTGAGAATGGGGAAACAGGGAAATACCTGCATTTTGGCACAGTTCAGAGCTTGTGGTTCAGAGGGAAAAATGGCTTTTTGTGTGGCTTAGTTTACCCTTCTGACGCTGTGGGCTTCGATAAAACCAATAGGCACAGTAATAAATGCCAGAATCCCTTGGGTTTAAATAATCTATTTTGAGAGTATAGAGGCCTTCTCCAGGATGTTTCTGAACCTTAAACTTCCAGCTACGGGACTGGTCATCATATGTAGGTGTCTCCCCCAAGATATACAAAATCCTCTCCGGCGGCTTTCTGACACGCTGCTGGTACCAGTGGATGTAGGTGTTGGCGTCTGTTCTGCAAGTCATAATGGCAGAGCTGTACTCCACCCTCCTCAAGAGCTTTGGGCTTTGCACCGGGGTTGTTTGTGCATCTGCACCTACAAGAGAAAGTGCAGAA